ACATTGCCTTCTTCACTACCCTGTCTACTGGCGATTCCACATTCAAGGAGCAATGAACCTGCATCCCAAGCTCTCTTTATTCAGCAACACTCCCCAAGACCCTACCATTAAGAGTTTAAGTCCTGCCCTGATTTGCCTTTCCAAAACACAGCACCTCACATTTATCTAAATTAAACTCCATCTGCCATTCCTTAGTTCATCGGCCCTTCTGATCAAGTTCCCGTTGCACTCTGAGATTACCTTCCTCGTTGTCCAACTACACCACCAAATTTGGTGTCATCTGCAAACTACATTGTGGTGTCTGTAGCTCTGGATCAGAAGGCCCAAGTTGGAGTCCTACCTCAGGATGTGTTAGCCATGGAGGCATATAATAATGTGTCTAAACAGCTTGAATTTTTACACCCTCTGCTCTACATTCTTCCTACTAAATATATCGCTTCACACTTCTCCACGCTGAAAATCATCTGCCCACTCCACCAACTTGTCCATTTCCTTTTGGTGTTGCCCACCATTGTCCTCTCAATTTTCAGCTTTCAAGTTTCATATCTTCCAGAAATTTGGAAATTCTAGACTTTTGACTTGTACACCAAGGTCCCAATCCAAAAAAAATCCACTGACCACTGTTTCCTATATTATATCCATGTTACTACTGTCCATTTTATTCCATACACTATAATTTTCCTCACCAGTCTGTATTGATGTACACAGCATCAACAGCATTACTCTCACCTTCACTCTCTTTTACCTCTTCAAAAGACTCCAGCAACTTAGTCCCTTAACTCATCCTGTACTTTTTTTTTCAGTGGCATCTTAACAAATATTATGTAAAAGTACAAGTATCCTACATTTACTGGCTCACCTTTATCTATCATATTAGTTAGATCATCACTAAAACTGAAATAACTTTGTCAAACACAATTTCCCTTTTGTAAATCCATTTTAAATCTCTGTTCATACTATGATTGTCTCAGTGCATTATTAAGACTCTCCCAGTTGTAGAATCCAGCGTTTATCTGATAACTGGTTGCCATGTTTCCTCTCCTTCCCTCCAGTCTTGTCTAGAGGGTGTTTTGTTTTCTAACTTCCAGTGGAGTACTGTCATCTCATCTTCAACAGTGTGAGTCTCGAGATGACTGAGCCTGATCTAGTGTAGGCTGGAAATGGGTCCCCGTCCTGATATTTTGATTGGCCAAGGCAGCTATAGAGCCATAGTGTCATACAGCCCAGAAAAGGCCCTTCGACCTATCGAATGTGCACCAACATAACCACACAAAAGGCACACTGACCCCAATTTCCTGCACTTGTCCCATATCCTTCAATGTTATGATATTTCAAGCGCTCATTCAAATATCTTTGAAAGCTTGCAAGGGTTCCAGGCTCTACTACCTTCCCAGGCAATGCATTCCAGATTCCCACACCCGCTGAGTGAAAAAGCTTTTTTTTCTCAAATCCCCTCAGAATCTCCTGCTCTTTACCCTAAAGCTATGCCCTTTCATGATTGACCCCTCAACCAAGCAGAACAGCTGCTCATCCTATCTATACCCGTCATTACTTTATACACCTCAATCACATCCCCCTCAGTCTTCTCTGCTCTAAAGAAAACAATCCAATCCTATCCAGTCTCTCCTTATGGCTCAATTTCTCCATCCCAGGCAACATCCTGGTGAACCTCCTCTGCACCCCCTCTAGTGCAATCACATCCTTCCTGCAGTGAGGTGAGCAGAACTGCACACGGTATTCCAGCAATGGCCTGAGCAACGCTCTGTACAACTGCAGCATTACCTCCTTGCTCTTATAGCTATGCCATGACTGACGAAAGCAAGTGTCCCATCAAAAGGATTCTGGGTAATCCAAGATGGAGGATGGAAAAAGTTGTAGCTGTAAGAGCTGCTTCTTTATTGAGGTATTTTCAGAGTTGGAGCTGATTCTAGATGCAGTAATTATAAGCTGCCGCATTGCTTTGGAACATTGAATAAAAAAGAGATCAAAACAACAGCACTTTAAAAGAAAGAAGAGTGACAAAACAGGGAACACAGGTCTCGCAGCTAAGTGGCTATTTTGAAAGAGTGACCTTACTGTTCTTACTTTTTTTGGTAACTCTGCAATAGCGAGTAGAGTGGGTTTTTATTTATTACATGTTCTATTGAGATTTTTTGGGTGTGCAGATCGCTAAGATGCGAAGATGGCCTTTAGTAGAGTGATTTGCTGTTCCTGTCAGATGTGAGAGATTAGGGAGAGTCTCCTTGTTACTGATGATTATGTCTGTAGGAAGTGTGTTCGGTTGCGAATCCTATCGGATCGCATGGATTGGTTGGAGCAGCAGTTAGAGGCAATGAGGAATTTACAGGAACTAGGGGGTGTGATGGACGGCAGTTGCAGGAAGGTAGATAAACTGAATATACAGTCAGAGAGATGGGTGACCTTCAGAAAAGGTAGGAGAGGGAGGCAGGTTGTGCAGGAGTCTCCTATGGCTATCCCCATCTCAAACAGGTATGTTTATTTGGAAAATATAGGGAGTGAGGGAGAATGTAGCACAGACAGCCAGGTATCTGGTACTAAGACTGGCTGTAATGTAACAAGGAGTAAGTCAGGTTCCAAGCGATTGATTGTGAGGGCAGAGCAGTGGACATGATCGATATGGACTTCAGTTAGGCATTGAACAAGGTTCCTCGTTGTAGACTGGTTAGCAAGGTTAGAGCATACGGAATACAGGGAGAACTAGGCATTTGGATACAGAACAGGCTCAAAGGTAGAAGACAGAGAGTGGTGGTAAATGGTTGCTTTTCAGACTGGAGGCCTGTGACCAGCGGTGTGCCACAAGGATCAGTGCTGGGTCCACTGATTGTTGTCTTTATTGGTCAGTGCATTGAGTATAGGAATCGAGAGGACTTGTTGCGGCTGTACAGGACATTGGTTCAGCCACTTTTGGAATGCTGCATTTAATTCTGGTCTCCCTGCTGTAGGAAGGATGTTGTGAAACTTAAATGGGTTCAAAAGAGATTTAGAGTTTATAGACTCCCTACAATGTGGAAACAGGCCCTTCAACACAACACATCCACACCAACCCTCAAAGCACCCACCTAGACCCATCCCCCTACAAACCACCTCATCTACACATCCCTGATCACTATGGGGCAATTTAGCATGGCCAATCCACCTGGGCCACACATCTTTGGAGTTTGAGAGGAAACCCACGCAGACACAGGAAGAATGTGCAAACTCCACACAGACAGTCACCCAAGGGTGGAATCAAACTTGGGTCGCTGGTGCTGTGAAGCAGCAGTGCTAACCACTGAGCTACCATGCCACCACCAAGAGAATGGTTTTGATCCATTGACCTCTATGTTATGAGCCCAGTACACTCCCACTGCACCGCTCTGTGTTGCCAGGGTTGGAGGGTTTGAGCAATAGGAAGAGGTTGAACAGGCTGGGGCTATTTTCCCTGGAGTGTTGGAGGCTGAGGGGTGACCTTGTAGATGTTTATAAAATCATGGGGGGCATGGATAGGGTGAATAGCCCAGGTCTTTTCCCCAGCGCGGGAGAGTCCAAAACTAGAGGGCGTAGGTTTAAGGTGAGAGAGGAAAGATTTAAAAAGGACCTAAGGGGCAACTTTTTCACACAGAGGGTGATGCATTTATGGAATGAGCTGCCAGAGGAAGTGGTGGAGGCTAGTACAATTACAACATTTAAAAGGCATCTGGATGGGTATATGAATAGGAAGTGTTTAGAGGGATATGGGCCAAATGCTGACAAATGAGACTAGATTAATTTAGGATATCTGGTTGGCACGGACATTCAGATCAAAGGGTCTGTTTTCATGATGTACAGCTCTTTGACGATATGTCTTCTTAACCAACCGTGCTCTGCTGACTTCAAGGATCTGTGAATGATTACCGCAAGATTTCTCTGTTCCTCTAAGCTACTCAGTGTCCTGCCATTCATCATATACTCCCTCAACTCGTTTCTTCTTCCAAAGTGCATCACCTCACACTTATCAGGGTTAAATACCATCTGCCACTGGCATGCCCATCTGACCAACCCACCTATATCTTCCTGTAACCTACAACTATCTTCTTCAGTGTTAACTACCCAACCCCAATCTTGGTGTCAGATGGAAGCCTCCTGACAAAAATGGATCATCCGTCACTCCGGGTGGAGAGGTTATGGGTAGCTTGTCACCCCCAGTAGATGCTGCCGGTCGAAAGGCAGTGAGAGTGCAGTGAGTTTTCATTCTGCGAGAGTTGTGTTAGATGTTTCCATTCAATGGGGGGTGGTGCCACCAATTTGCCTAAATAATTGAGAAAGTTACTGCAAAGTGGTTGGTGGGGGGATGGTGGGGACATCCTGGATTTAGGCACCATTTCAGAATGTGGGTGACTTCGCCTGTTGCTGTTTGTTTAGTATCTTCTGTGGTTGCCAAGTCTGCCGAGTTTCCCCTGGAGGGCACAGGAATTATAAACGGTTCCTCTCCCAGACACTGCGGACAAAATGGGAATAAATTACCTGGCTACCAAATTGAAATAGCATTTATTTTGCATTCTCTTTCAACACTTTTTTTTTGCAAAATAAAAGGAGCTGCTGGAGGTAGAAGCAAAAAAGTGGCTCACAAATTGTCCAATCGGGTTGCAGCAAGATTGGTCTCCTTCCAATGAGCAATGGATGGGCTGAGCAGCCAATGGCAAGAGTCTGTGGGCAGCTTCTGTGCTGTCACCTCCAGGAGTGCAGTCAGAGTTGGCAACTTCAGTGGGTTACCTTAAACAACTGGCTTTCCAACCTCAGTGGGAGGAAGGTGCAGCGAATGGACGAACTCTGGGAGGGGTTATGTAAGGGGAACAACAATGGGAGGGTGTTGGGGAACATGTTACGTTGCAACACACACACACACCGTCACTATGACTGGAGCTGCTATGAAGAGTATAACTAGGTTCCAGTCCTCTCATCTCTGAAAAGATGGCCCAGCTGGGATTTGGTTGTAACTTGTTATCCCCTGTCCTTTATAGAGGCTGGTATTGATGAACATGCCTGTGAGTGATGACAAGACTGTTCATTTCACTTCCACCCTCATGGGCCTAATCAGGACAGCACTTCACATCAAGCTTGCAAAAGGTAAGAGGGATTTCAAGTGTTGATGCCACACCAAACAGGACACAGGCTTTCTCATTTTGGGATCTGATTAAAAACACTGGCTCCCACTTCTATAGTGTCTTCATTGTAGTAAACATGCCAAGATGTCTCACAGGAGTGATCACCGCACAGAATGTGACCTGAGCAATATATCAGAGGAACTGTCCTTCGTTAATGAGGTAGTTTTTAAGGATCGTTTTGTAAAAGAGAGAGAGAGAGACGGAGAGATAACTATACAGGAAGTTATGACGTGCTTCCTGTCATATTTTTGGCACATTCATAATCTGTCTCAAGAGAGATATTAGTACTTCCATTTGTATCTATCACTTTCTCAGTTTGCAGCTCAAAGGAAGATAATTGTACACAAACAAATTCATTTCAGTGACCCTTCCCCCACCAGCCGGCTCAAGGAGATATCCATACACTGACTGGTGTTGCTCAGACCCTCTCACTCTGGGAGATATCTGTACACTGGTGTCAGTCAGTCTCCTTTCTCTCAGGGAGCTATCTGTACACTGACTGGTGTATCTTCAGTCCTCTCTCTCTCAGGGAGATATCTGTACACTGTGAACCGTCTATGTAGGGTTGGGTTACGTTGAGATACACATTGCAATGCAGTTCTTGAATAAAGCCTATCTTTCAGGTGGAGCAGATAAGCAGCAGTTAGATGCAGAGTTACGAAAGGAAATTATGACTATCTGGCCTCACCTCTCTCAGAAGACACTAGACCTCCTAGTTCCCATCCATATGCGTAAGTGAAGCATCGCTTTTCCTTGACCATTATTTCCTTTAGCCTAAACTAGAAGCACATTTAAAGGTGACAGAAAAACGACCCCTTTATGATGGGTCTCCTCTCCCGATCCCAAGCTCCTCGATCCAGCCTGATGCTCTTCTGACCTTGGACTCCATATGGGACTCGAGATTTTAGCTAATTTTATCCCTTTTCCTGCCCATGGCTTTGCCTGACAATTCCGACAATTACCAGACATTGGGTTACAGATCTGCACTGAGAAGCTCACTTATAGACTGAGTGACCAATGAATGCTCCCTGCTCAATATAATGTGACAGCAGTTTTAAGCTTTACCTCTGATTTCTCAAAACCTTAAACTCCTTTCCATTTTATTTATTACACCATTGTGGAAGGACTGTTATTCTGAACATTTTATTTCTTTATTTTTCTAATTTATTACAATGATTTTGTACTTTTGAAGATCTGTAGTGCTAGACTTTTTATTTCTACATTTTTCTAAATTTTTTGTCCTACGAACTTGTACTGAGGAATCCGTACCTAGGTACTTTTGTACCTAAGCTGGTGCTGTAAGTGGCGACTTGTAAACTTTTCACTGTACTCATGTGACAACAAAACTAATTCAATTCAATTTCAGTGTGTGGGTGAGACCTCAGGAGTAACTAACTCTTTCTGTTCGCCAGCCACTGACCTTACAATCGGCAAAATCTACGCTGCCATGATGATCATGGATTACTACAAACAGAGTAAAACCAAAAAATACCAACAGCTACAGGAGGAGCAGGTACTGTCCTTGAGCCACCAATACCACACTGATCCTAACTAAGGCAATAAACTAGATAGCACAGATACTGTGGGGCCAAACGGGATAGAGATTGGATGTGGCAGTGTAGTTTCAGTTGGAATGGGAATTCAGGATCTGGGTTTGGCGGGTGCGAATTTGGGGCGGGAATGGTAGATACATTTTGTAGCATTCCTATCTCCCAAGAGAGTATATAGCCCATATCATGTATTGCTTACATTGAACACAGAGGGTTGTGAACACGGCCCAGTCCCTCACCGGCCAACCTTCCATCCACTGACTCCATCTATACTGCCTCAGGAAGACAGTCAATGTCATAAAAGACCCCTCCCAGCAGCCCACTTCTAATCTCTTCCAATCTCTTCTGTCGGGCAGAAGATACAAAAGCTTAAACACACACACCAACAGATTCAAGAACATTTTCTGCCCCGCTGTTATTAGGCTTCTGAACGGACCTCTCAAATTTTAAACTTAATGTTGATGTCCCTTTTTGTGCACCTTCTCTGTGGCTGTAACATTGTAGTCTTTGCTGTGTTGTATTATCCTAATGCAGTTTGTATGGTATGATCTGCCTGTACTGCACACAAAACAGAACTTTTCACTGTACCTTGGTACATACGACAATAATAAATCAAATTAAATCAAATCAAAATTGATTATGAGGAATCCCTCCCCATCCATTGAGTTGAATAGCAGACGTCAGGCACTTGCCACAATCACACAATGTATGGACTATTTAGCCCGCTGTTATTTAGACACTGACATGGGTTAACACTGGATTTTGAGTCAGTTGGTAGATTGTTGGTGTAAGTCCCATTCCCAGGACCAGCTCCTACAACTGAAGAAACGCAAGGGAGCAGGGAACAAAGGGAGAGGGTGGGAATGTTTGTTGTTAGTGCAAGCTCTGTGTTGGGTTTTCACAGCAAGATGAGCTATGGTGTGTGTCTTCTGGACTGAATTCTATGCAACAAGGAGCAATTGTAAATTTGTTCTTTGTTTAGAGTCGAACGCCGATGTTCCAGCGGATGGAAGCTTCATCTCTGCCTCCACAGATTATCTCCAGTACCAAAGCACTGCCTTTTCTACACTCAGACATGGGCCATGACATGTAAGTTCCACATGATGACAGTGTCTCAGACAGTGCAGAAAGAACCAGCATTAAGATATAGTGAAGGATTCTGTTCAATCAGCTGACTACCACCCTCGAGCATCTTGTTTTAGCTCACTCAGACTCATATCGGCACCTCCTTATCACCCACAGGGAGGAGGAGGCCATTCAGCCCATGGGGACTGTTCACATATTCCATTCTATCATGACCAATTGCCACCTTGACTGTCATTCTTCTGGTGACTCCTCACCCTCTGCCGCTCCCCCACTCCTCACCCTCTGCCCACTCCCCACCCTCTGCTCAGTCCCCCACTCCTCACCTTCTGCCCACTCCCCCACTCCTCACCCTCTGCCCACTCCGCCACTCCTAGCCCTCCACCCCATTCCCCACTCCATATCCTCCACCCCACACCCTACTCCTCACCCTCCACTCAGTCACTACTACTCAACCCGCCACTCAGTCACCGCTCCTGACCCTCTGCCCACTCTCCCACTCCTCACCCTCCACCCAGTCACTACTCTCCATCCCACTCCGCCCTCCTGCCCTTCTACCACACTTACCCAGTCACCACTCCTGACCCTCAGCACTGCTCCTGATCTTCCACCTCACTCCTCATCCTCTACCCCACTCCCCAACTCGTGACCCACTGCCCCACTCCTGACGATGAAACCCTAAGAAATGGGAACAGCCTGAAGCCATTCGGCCCCTCAAGCCTGCTCTGCCATTCAATAAGATTGCGGTTGTTTCGAAACTCCTCATGTGCACTTTCCTGCATTTTCCCTATAGCTCTTGATTCCCCGACTAATCAAGAATCTCAGCCTTAAAAATACACAAGGACATTCCCCCATAGCTCCCTGTGGCAAGGAGTTCCAAAGACAATCTACCCTCTGAGAAAAGAAATTCCTCTTCATCTCATACTTAAACTGGCACGTCTTTATACTGAGACTATGCCCTCTGGCCTTTGGCTCTCCCATTAGGGGAAACATCCTCTCAGCATTGACCCTTTCAAGCCCCTTAAGAATCCAAAATGTTTCAATGAGATCACCTCTCATTCTTCTACACTCCAGTGAGCAGAGTCCCAACTTGTTTAGCCATTGCTCATAAGACAGTCCCTCCAGACCAGGGATCATCTCTGAACTGCCGCCAATGAAATGATAACTTTCCTTAAATAATGGACCGAAACTGCTCACGGTGCTCCAGATGTGGCCTCATCAACACCTTGTATAGTTGCAGTAAGTCTTAGAACATACGACATCACAGGATCAGGTCCTTCTGCCCACCATGTCTGTGCCGACCCTGATGCCATCCTAAACTAATCCCATCTGCCTGCACATGGTCCATATCCTTCTATGCCCTGCCTGCTCATGTCTCTGTCTAAATACCTCTTAAACATTCCTACCTCACCTGGCAGCATATTCCAGGCACTTAACCAAGCACTTTGTAAAAACAATTACCTCGCACATCTCCCTTAAGCCTTTCGCCTCTCCCTTAAACCTGTACCCCCTAGTTTTTGATATTTTCATCCTGAGAGAAAGGCTCTGATTATCCGCCTTATCCATGCCTCTCATAATTTTGTATACTTCTATCAGGTTTAACCCTCAGCCTGCGACGCTATAGCGAAAACAATCCAAGTTTGTCCAACCTCTCCTTATCGTTTAAATTCTCCAATCCTGGCAACATCCTGGTAAATCTCTTTTACACCCCCTGCAAATCCTCCACATGGCAACCAGAATTGACACAATCCTCTAAAATGTGGCCGAACTAAAGTTTTACAACATGACTAGCCAGCTTTTATCCTCAATGCCCTGACCGATGAAGACCAGCATGCCATAGGCCTTCTTTAACACCTTACCCACTTGTGTTTTGACTTTTAGGGAGCTATGGACTTGCACCCTGAGGTCTCTCTGTACAATGCTCCTAACGTCCCTGCCGTGAATTGTATACTTTCCTCTTGCAATTGACCTCCCAAAATACAACTCACACTTATCTCCATCTGTATTTCTTTGCCCACTTTTCAAACTGACCTGCTTTATCCTTTAATAACTTTCCTCACTATCCACAACTCCACCAACTTTTGTGTTGTCTGCAAACGTCAGACCACCTACATTTTTATCCAAGTTATTCATATATATTTTAAACAACAGAGGTTCCAGCACTGATCCTTGCAGAAAACCAGTGGTCACAGATGTCCAGCCAGAAAAACACCACTCCGTAACCACCCTCTGTCTTCTGTGACTAAGCCTATTTTGTATCCAATTTGCTAACTCGCTGTGGATCCGATGTGACTTAATCTCCTGGACCAGTCTACCATGAGGGACCTTGTCAAATACTTCTGTAAAGTCCACTGCCCTGACCTTTCGGTGTTCTGTGCACAAGTACCCTCAAGTCCCTGGTGTTGCAGCTTTTCTGCAATTTCTTTTCATTTAGGTAATACTCTTGTCCTTTTGTTCTCCCTCCCAAAATAAACATTTTCCCAGATTATACTCCATTTCCCAACTCTTTGCCCACTTACTCAACTCCTCAATATATCTCTGCTCCACTCCTGACCCTTCACACCATACACTCACCTCCTTATCAACTCCTGACTGTCCCCTTCACCCCACCCTCCACACCATTTCCCAATCTCTCCTGGGCCTGATCACCCCTCTACAGCCACAGGCCACTCAGCCTGTTTTGGTTGAGCCTGTTGTCAGGTGGGTTCCAGGGTCAGAGCTGTGTTCCCTTGGAGATTTGCTGCAGGCAGATCTCTTCTCATTGTGACTAACTGTCTTTGTCAGTCTGTCCGCTCCTGAATGAGAGACAAAGCTGCTTACCTTGTAATGGCCTAGCAGTTTTACTGCTGGTCTGTTAATCCAGAAACCCAGTTCATGGGCTCAAATCATGCCAAGGCAGATGGTAGAATTTGAATTCAGTAAAAACAAATGTGGAATTAAGAGTTTAATGATGACCATGAAACTGTGGTCAATTCAAAGTTTTTGAGAAGATTTGTAGCTTGGGTTGTGGATGAGGTTGGGTTTGGTTGCAGACATTTTGTCATCTTGCTAGGTAACACGGTCACCACGCCTCCAGTGAAGATTTGGTGTTCTGTCCCGCTTGTTATTTATATGCCTCGGTTTGTGGCAAAACCGGTGTAATATACAAAATACCATGGAAGGACTGTGAGAAACACTACATAGGCCAAACCGGGAGAAAATTGACAATAAGGATACACGAACACCAACCGGCCACAAGAGACACGACCAATTCTCACTTGTCTCACTACACACTGACAAAGAGGGACACAGATTTGACTGGGACAACGCATCCATAATCGCACAAGCCAAACAGAGATACGCCAGGGAATTCCTGGAGGCCTGGATTCCAACCGGAACTCCATCAACAAACACATTGAATTAGTCCCTGTGAACAAACCACTGAGAAACAGAACCGGAAGTAACGTGAACCATCCCAAAAAGCTGAGGCATATAAATAACAGAGATAGTAGGAACTGCAGATGCTGGACAATCTGAGATAACAAGGTGTAGAGCTGGATGAACACAGCAGGCCAAGCAGCATCAGAGGAGCAGGAAGGCTGATGTTTTGGACCTAGACCCTTCTTCAGAAATGCAAAAAAAATCAGCAAAACCCGTTAATGTATGGGACTGTAAGCTGGGCCTCAGTGCGAGCACTCTGCCCCCGGATTCACAATGTTGTGGCTTCGTGTCTCACTCCAGAGACATGAGCACTTCATCCATGCTAAAAATGCAGTGCAGTACTGAGGGAGTGCCGCACTGTTGGAGGGTCAGTGCTGAGGGAGTGCCGCACTGTCGGAGAGACTGTCTCTCAGATGGTCCTTCTGTCTTCTCACGTACGAGATCCAAAGGCACTTTCCAAACAATGGCATGTGTGTACTTCCCCATGTCCTTAATCCCTCAAGCAGCAGATTGCCCAGTTATTCCGACATTGCTGCTTTTGGGAATCGTCATTACCAGGAAACGACCTGTACAGTTTCTTAGCAGACGATAGGGACCACCCTCTGAAGAAGCTCGTTTTCTGTCAAATGATTCGGCATGGCCTTAGGTTGTGAGTGGTGCTGTGTCAAACATTGTCTTTCATTCCAATGCTCCTCACAGGGATAGCAGAAGTGAGTTTGCCCCCCTGGTGCCCTTGCCCCCATCGATTATGTTCCAGCATAGCAGGACGTCAGCACGGCAAGCAGACGAATTTCGTGACCAGCGGCTAAAGGTAAGGAATCAGCTGGCATTCGAATTTGAGATCAGAGCAGATCAAGGTACACAACTGGGATCGGCTGAGTATGCTGCAGGGAACTGGGGGCTACACAGGGTCTTTGAATGCCCACTGAGTCTGATGGCATCACCATTGTTGATTGAAGATTAGACTGTGTTGCTAACACCACTAAGTCACCAAGGTGGGAAGGTGAAGGGGAAGACAGACAGAGCATTAGGGGGTTCAGGTGGGGTAGGGGCAAATTTAGGGTGAGTGGAGGAAGCCAAATGACAGCTTTGGGAGGGGTGGAGGTGGCAAGGAGAGACGGTTCAGGATGGGGGTTGGGGGGGTGTGCAGTAAAATGAATTCTATCTGATCTCCCACCCCCTCCCTGCCCCTGGGGGAGGAGTGATCAGGAGGGCAGGAGATCAGGGGATGGATGGAAAGGAGGTCCTGGAAGGGGGAGAGACATGTCTGGGGTGGCGGTGGGGGTTGGGGGGATGTGGGTGTTTGGGAAGAGAAGGGAGGAAGATCAGGCAATGGCGGGGAGAAAAAGCCACTGTCTGTTCTCCCGTCTCACCACCCCCACCCTCACAGCCTGGCTATATGTTCAGCAGCCTCTCTCCCCCTAACCCCCATGTCCATCTTACACACTACCACCATCCCCACCCCCTCAACCCACCCAGAATCATTTAAACTGAGCACAGGGAGATGTATTTGCTGGCTTCATGCTCAGGGAGATCACAAGTCATGAGCCCCCAAGCAAAGAAAGCATCTTCCATGAATTTGCAGCCCAACATTTCAAAAGCAGATCAAAATTGACAGCGCTGTGATATATGTGAATGTGCAGTTTGCTGAGTTTGAAAACAAAAATTCCTTAAAGTCAATAAATTGTTTGGAGGACCTTTTTGATAATTACATTTTCAACAATCCTTTCTATATTAGCATGTCCTTATATTCAGTTTCAAGCACAGTGCAATTCACAAGAGATAATTGCCTGATCAATCCACTGTGTAAAACATTCATTCATAAATTTCAGCATGGTAGCTCTGGTTAGCAGGGACCTGGGTTTGATTCCACCCTCGGGCGACTGTCTGTATGCACAGTCTCCCCGTATCTGTGTGGGTTTTCTCTGATGTTCCAGTTTCCAGCCACAGTCCAAAGATGTACAGGTTAGGTGGATTGGCCATACTAAATTACTTCATAGTGCCCCCAGAGATGTGCAAGCTGGGTGGATTCGCCATGGTGTGTGGGATTATGTGGATAGAATGGGTGGATGGGATGGTCTTCAGAGTGTTAGTACAGACTCAATGGGCCAAATAGCCTCTTTCTACACTGTCGGGATGCTATGAATCTAACTAGGGTTTAAGGATTCGATTTTGCGAGGGTGTTTCAAAGTCTTCTGGAAAAGGCAGTTTTCCAACATTTTCCAAACCGTTTCCACGGCCAAATCCTGTTCATGCACAGATCATGTGCCAGTTCACTGTGCAAGGTACACATGCTCAGACTGTACAGATTGGGTCTAAAGTTTCCCCTAACACCATCAAATCACGTGGATCTTCAGCTCTTTCTGACAAGCTGAGGCTTGTTCCTGGTCTCATTCTTGCAAATCTCCTGTGAACTGTCTACAGGGTTTTAACATCCTTCCTTAAACAAGGTGCTCAGAACTGAACTGAATACTCCAAATGTGCTCTGACCAATGACTTGGAGAGGTGCATTCAATTATATGTAGTTGTTAGTGAAGTATGTTGCATTAATCTGGCTATGCATCTTTAATTTACGATGTGCTAGGATCTAGAGAAAGGAAAATTGGAATATCCCCACAACAGCCATTACCTCCCCATCGAAAACCAAGGACGGGCTGTGTCAATGCCACGACTGGAGCTGGAGTCTGAGGTAACTTCTGTTTCCTGCCTTTATCCAAACTAATGTCTGTGCTTCTTTCTCCAGTTCACACAGTAATGTGAAGAAATGTCTCCTGTTCTTGGTAAATTCCTGATACCCTTCATCAATCTCTCCATAACCTGAGGGAATGGTCTCTGCCAGCTCGACATCAGAACTACTCATCAGTTTATGGTTCAACAATGATGCCTCTCATTCTTCTAAATTCTAAATGCGTACAGGCCTAACTTACTCAACCTCTCCTCATAAGACAGTCCCTCCATACCTGGGATCACTCTAATGAACCTTCTCTGGAAGTGAATGCCCGTGTATCTTACCTTCAATAAGGAGAACAAAACTACTCACAGTTTTCCAGCTGAGGCCTGACCAGTGCCTTTGATAATATGAGCAAGACATCCCTGTTTTTGTACCCCATTCCCTTTGAAGTAAAGGCCAATACTCCATTTGCCGTTTCCATTACTCACTGAGCTTGAATGTTAGTGACTTTTGTGATTCATGCATTAGGACTCCCAGATCCCTCTGTTCTGTAGCTTTCTGCAGTGTTACTCTATTTAAATGATAGTTAGCCCGTTGCTTTTCCCTGCCAAAGTGCCTAACTTCACAGTAAATCACCACTCACCGGGCAGCATTACATGATCAAAGCCCCTCTGCTATTTGTAGATTTTTGGTTTTGACCTTATGATTCGGCCCATCAATGCCACAGCAGCAGCAATAGAAAATAAAACTCCAGGCCAACACTCAGATTTGCACAAACGAAACAACAGCAATGACAGAGATAACAAGGTGTACAGCTGGATGAATACAGCAGGCCAAGCAGCACCAGAGGAGCAGAAAGGCTGACGTTTCGAGCCTAGACCCTTCTTCGTCAGCCTTCCTGCTCCTCTGATGCTGCTTGGCCTGCTGTGTTCATCCAGCTCTACACCTTGTTATCTCAGATTCTCCAGCATCGGCAGTTCCTACTATCTCTGAAACAGCAACGACAGTATAAGTTTCCTTGAAACCTGATGTGCTTGTGTTTGCCTGAAAAATAAACATGATCAACACTGCTGTCAACTCTCAGCCAGCTGTACTCCTGTGGACTTTAACTTCTCATTGCAGGAAGCCTCCTACCTCCCTCAATTCCCTTCCGTCCTGGTTCTGCAGTTGAACCCTGCTCTCTGTTCCTGCCCTTGCTCACCCCTATCCCCCTCACTGGACTCTGGAGGCTAATACTCACATGAATTACTTGGCATATTTAACACCACTCCAGGACTGAATGCAAGAATAAATAACTCTCCTGGATAACGTTTTCAGAGAGAACCTCCTGAGCCCCACTTTAACAACTGACTTCGCACAAATGACAGTGGGGTTTTGGGGGGGAAAAAGATACCCAAACTTTCTTGAAATTAAACTCGACCTGCTTATGGACCGGAAGCTTGGAAAATAAAGGGGCCTAGTCTGTCTGTCTGTCTGTCTATCTCAGTGCCTGTAACAATGTGTGAAACAGGATTGAGAGAAAGGTTCCAACGAAAGATTTGGGAAAGCTTGTATTGTCGATATGAACGTGAAGTTAGGCACTTTGGCTGGAAAAACAACGGGCTAACAATCATTTAAATAGAGTAACACTGCAGAAAGCTACAGAACAGAGAGATCTGGGAGTCCTAATGCATGAATCACAAAAAGCTAACATCCAAGCTCAGTGAGTAATAGAGGAGGCAGTTGGAATGTTGGCCTTTACTTCAAAGGGAATGGGGTACAAAAATAGGGATGTCTTGCTCATATTATCAAAGGCACTGGTCAGACCTCAGCTGGAAAACTGTGAGTAGTTATGTTCCCCTTATCGAAGGTAAGATACACAGGCATTCACTTCCAGAGAAGGTTCATTAGAGTGATCCCAGGTATGGAGGGACTGTCTTATGAGGAGAGGTTGAGTAAGTTAGGCCTGTACTCACTTAGAATTTAGAAGAATGAGAGGCATCTTATTGAAACATACAAGAATCTGAGGGACATGACAGGGTAGATGCGGAGAGGTTGTTTCCCCTTGTGGGAGAGACTGGGACCAGAGAGGTGACACATTTAAGACAGCGATGAGGAGGAATTTCTTCTCTCAGAGGGTAGTGAATCTGTGGAATTCTTCACCACGGAGGTCTTTCAAGGTTGGGTCATAAAGTATATTCAAGGCTGCGATAGATTTTATTTCAGTAAGAGAATCGGGGGTTATAGGGAAAGGCAGGAAAGCAGAATTGAGGATTTTCAGAGCAGACATGATCTCATTTAATGGCAAAACAGACTTGATGGGCTAATGGCCTACTTCCACTACATGCTTCCACATGTAATGGTTAGTGGGGGCAGTTTCTATCTCTCTGGTCAATATACTTTTAATCACTTCAATATGTTGCTTTTGTTAATGTTGCAGTCTGAGAGACTAACAGTCTGTGCTTTCTTTGTCTTGTTAGTGTACCATGTGCCCGACAGTTGTGAATTTCCACCAGGCTCCTCTGACTAGCCATGTCCTTCTGCCACTTTACTGCCAGAGGCTTCCAGACTGTAGTCAGCCAGTCAGTCATAGAGTCATGGAGTCATACAGCACGGAAGCAGGCCCTTCAATACAATCTGTCCATGCCAACCACGTTTCCCAAACTAAACTAGCCTTATTTGCCTGCATTTGGACAATATCCCTCTAAACCTTCCCTATTCATGTACCTGTCCAAATGTCTTTTAAATGGTGTAACTGCATCTACCACATCCTCTGGCAGCTCGTTCCACAAACACACCATGCTCTAGGAGAAAACGTTGCTGCTCGAGTCCCTTTTAAATCTTTCCCCTCTCATCTTACACTTGTGACCTCTGGTTTTTGGACTCCGCTTACGTGGAGAAAAGACTTTTGCTATTCATCTTATCTACACCCCCTCATGATTTTATAAACCCCTATAAGGTCAGCCCTCAGCCTCCAACACTCCAGGGAAAAAAAAACCCCAGCCTATGTCACCTCTCCTTATAACTCAAGCCGTCCAGTCCCGGTGATGTCCTTGCAACTTTTCCAGTTTAATAATATCCCATCTGCTGTGAGTTTAAAAGTCCAGCAAAGCCATTTCCTTAAAGAGAAAAGGAAAGTAATGTCTAAATAAGTAATGATATCCTAAATGCCCAGTGGACATGACAATGTACTGTGTGCTTTCAGTGTTTCCATTACACCTTCCAGAACAAAACATCCTAAAGCAACATCTGATGTCCTGTGTTCTGTGTCCCTTTTGTAAAGCACAAAACTTCAATGATCCTGCCTCGCAAAAGCAGCCAACATAACCAAAGACCCCTCCCATCCCGGTTACACTCTCTTCCACCCTCTTCCATCGGGCAGAAGATACAAAAGTTTGAAAACACATACCAACAGATTCAGGAGCAGCTTCTTCCCCGCTGTTATCAGACTTTTGAATGCACCTGCTCATATATTAGATTTGATTTTTCTCTGTAGCTGAAACACTATATTCAGCATTCGGTTCTATTACCCTGAAATGCTTATGTGAGGTATAAAATCACAGGACACCAGGTTATAGTCCGACTGGCTTATCTGAAAACGTCAGCTTTTGGAGCTCAGCTCCTTCCTCAGGCGTAGTGTGAGAGAGGATATAAGTCACAGAATTTATAAGCTGAAAGGTAACAACCCTAAAACTGAAGAAGGGTCCAGACCCAAAACGTCAGCTTTCCTGCTCCTCTGATGCTGCTTGGCCTGCTGTGTTCATCCAGCTCTACACCTTGTTATCTCAGATTCTCCAGCATCGGCAGTTCCTAAAATCTCTTAACACTAAAACTGGCTGCCTCTTGTTGAATGTTTAATTAGTTAGGAAGGAGACTACTGATTAAAATGCAAAATCCAGATTCCTTTCAAGCCATTGTCCCGAAATAATTAAAGGTTTTATCAATATATACAAGAGGTGACATCTCAGGTCAGACAATGTATTTTAGGTGTGAAGTCTTGCTTAGAATCTGACTATGTTTTAAACTGGGGTCAGATTTTATTTTTTTGAGCAAAACAGAATGTATCTGCGGCTACACAAACAACTTGGATGAAATAACTCATGTGTGTCTGTGTATGCGCGAGTATTGCATTCAATTCTGGTCGCCACGTTACAGGAAGGATGTGAAGGCTTTGGAGAGGGTGCAGAAGATGGTTACCAGGATGCGACCTGGATCAGAGAGTATGAGCTATAAGCCAGCTACATTTGTGGCAGTCGGTTAGCTCAGCTGGTTAGAGTGTGGTGCTAATAACGCCAGGGTCATTGGTTTGATCCCCATACTGACCAACTGTGTTGGATTCTAACTGCGAGTTGCATGCTTTGCGTTCTGACTGGAGGCTTGCGTGGTAGTCTCTGCTTTTGGGCAGCACGGTGGCTCAGTGCTTAGCACTGCTACCTGCCAGTGCCAGAGACCCAGGTTCAATTCCAGCCTCGGGCGACTGTCTGTGTGGAGTTTGCACATTCTCCCCGTGTCTGCGTGGGTTTCCTCCCACAGTCCAAAGATATGCAGGCTAGGTGGATTGACCGTGCTAAATTGCCCATAGTGCCCGGGGATATTTAGATTAGGTGGGTTAGACAAGGAAAATGCAGGGGTAGGGGAATGGGTCTGGGTAGGATGCTCTTCGGAGGGGGCGGTGTGAACTTGTTGGGCCAAATGGCCTGTTTCCACACTGTAGGGATTCTATGAGATGCTAGGAAAAACTTGGGTTGTTTCTCTGCAACAGCACAAGCTGAGGGGAGACTTGATAAAAGTCTGTAAATTGTGAGATGCATAGATAAGGTTGATGGTCAGAATCTTTTTCCCAGAGTTGAAATATCTAATACTCAGGGGGGCATACATTTGAGATGAGGGGGGAAAGTTCAGAGGTGATGTGAAGAGCAAGTGTTTTACACAGAGAGCGGTAGGAGTGTGGAACGTGCTGCAAGGGGCCAGTGGTGGAGGCAGATACAATAGGGGCATTTAAAGGACTTTTAGATAAGCGCATGAATATGCAAGGAATGGAGGGATATGGACCAAGGGCAGGCAGAAGGGATTCGTTTACTTTGGTATCATGTTCGGTGCAACATCATGGGCCAAAGGACCTGTTCCTGTGCTGTACTGTTCTATGTTCTCTGTATTTTCTACAGCAGGCGAAACAATACTTTTCACTGTATCTCAGTACCTGTGACAATAATAAATCAAAACCAAATTACTTTCTCCACTGGCAATTACATTAGATCCCTTCCTGTCTTGTCTCTCTTCACTAACATTGTTCATCCATTTAACTGTCTCTTCTGAGTTTGGAACAGATCCCGAATGGGCTAAAGATTGGTCTCATGTTTGTATCTGATGGGATCAAAGGATTGGTCTCACTTTGTGGCAGGCTGTGGCCCAAAGTAGAGTGAGTACGGGCACCTGTATCAAATGGTAGGTCATAAGCATTGGAAATGCTTTGAAATTGACTTAAAAAGACAAAAGCAGAGGAAGCTAGTGCCACTTCAAGTTGTAAAGTGTTGAAGAAGAGGGTTATAATACAAAGTGATAACACCTTTGGATTGTAGATTCTGGAAGACGGGAATACTGGGGGAAGGAACAGAGAGACCTTTGAAAGGATTGAGTGGGAGTAGGTGATGAAATAACAGCACACGGGCAGTTTGTGGGGCAAGTGAGAAGTGCCATTCCTCACTATATAAAAGGACAAGAGATACCAGCCAAAACTGAAAGGTACTTCACAGCCAAACAATAATGTGTTTGTTATTAAAACACCTCATGTTAGTACGTGTGTGATTTCAGTGCTGCTAACCCTTCTTCTCTGGTGTGTGTTGTTCCTCTGTGGCCTGGAAGTCGACGGAAGGCAGAAGCCCAATGAAACGTTCGTTCTCCACATTTGCTGGCCATCACTTGAGTGGGAGCTGGCTCAGTGAGTACTCACTCGAGAGAGCCGGCCCAGACGACCTGTACCAGAAACGGGGATGCAGACCGCTAAGGTCATCCGGCAAGTCTTCAACTGCAGGTACGCTGCTACACGGCTAAGTGACCTCGTGCCTCTGAATGTTGGGTTAAAAAGGTGGCTGCTTTTGCCTGGGTTGGCAAAGAAGTGGTTGGGTTAAAATTCCTCGCTCGGGTTTTAACTCTCTCCTGATTGTTGAGCCTTGCAGCGTTCCTCCTGGCTCATTTAATGGGGATTGCACTCGAAGCTGGATGCGGGTCATGCAAATGAATATTGAGGTAAAAAGGTTTCATTTTGGTGAAATAATTCAGAGCACCTTATTAACAATAATGGGAAAGGAGCAAATGATGACCATGACGTGATCAGGTTTATGAGGATGATTCATGAACCAAGTGTTATCAGATAAAGTTCACCACAGTAAGCAGGATATAATTTTTTCGTGGGATGTGGGCAACGCTGGCAAGGACAGCAATGCTGGACTTTTTATTTCTTTATTTTTCTAATTTTCTTTGTCCTAAGAACTTGTACTGAAGAATCTCTACCTAAGTACTTTGTACCTGAGATGGTGCTTTTAAACTTTTCGCTGTACTCATTTGAGGACAGTGACAATAAAACTAATTCAGTTCATTGGTTGCCCATCGCTAACTGCTTTGCTAGACCATTTCAGAATCACCCACATTGCTATGGGCCTGGAGTCAACGGAAACCATTCCAGCAAGGCTGGCTGATTTCTTGCTCTCAAGGGCATTAGCAAACCACACAGGTATTTACACGCAATGGCTGATCATTTAATGGTTGCTCTCACCAAGGCTTGCTTTCAATTCCACATTTATTTATTGAATTTGAACCCCAGGTGCCATGGTAGGATTTGAACCCCTATCCCCAGAGAATTAACTTGGGCCTCTAGATTGCTGGTCCACTACACCTGCACCTCCCCCGATTGATGGTCTGAAATACAGATGAGAAATGGGACGTGTCTAAAGAAGTATTTAATAGAGTACAAAACCTGTATACACACACTCTTAAAAGGCAAGAACTCTATGTGTGTAATTAAACAACATAGGGACATGTGAAACTGTATGGAATCATAACTAAGGGTTTGTATGAAGACATAAGGCAGCAAAGAGTCCCCCAGACTGATAGAAATACAAAGAAAAGTAGCAGCAGAACATTGAGAAGAGGATACAAAAGAGAACTTGCAGAGACTACCAAAGTTTTGCAAGTAAATTCTGATAAAATAACTGAACGTATTTCCTGTTCAGAGAGCGTTAGAGTGGATTTACAAAGGGTCAGACTTCTTTGGCGAACATGGTTACATTGTTTAAAGAGCTCACTGATGTGAGAGACAAGGGAATGTCGAGGGATATGGTTTATATGATCTTTCAGAAGACATTCAAGAAAGTTCCACACAAGAGACTTTTCATAAACATGGAAACATATGGAAACCTTTTCCAATGGGTAAGAAACAGGATTGGAAGTAGGAGACAGAGAATCGGGATAATATATGTGTAGTTTAGTGGCAGAAGGAGACCGTAGTGGTCTGTACTGAGGTCTCAGCTTTTTCAATTCTACTCATTTGCCCTCAAGAGGAAGATGAGCATATTCCTCCTCTGGGGATTCCAATGGGTATTGAGGTCAACCAGTGCCCAGAGGTCGTGCTGCAAACAGGCCAGAATACTGCAGATGACGGATCTTTGGATGAGTTGCTGTTTTGGGATTTCCAGCTCCCCCCCCCACCGCCTTTGTTTTTCTCTGCCTTTGAAACACGCTTGCTTGCTTTCTGCATCTTTTTTAGTCACTTATGCTGTGTGCAGTGATCCTGCGCGCGCCCTTCCCAGGACTTGCAATCGATATACAAACTCCAAGGTGAGATGTTCAGAGCACCCTCCTTTTACCATTCTGAGAGTGCACCCCAGACCCGAGCTCTCCGTGGATATGCTTTGGTAAGTGGGTGACCAGGCTGTCTCCATTGTGCCTGTCTCAGTTTGGGTGTGGATGTTTGGCAGGCCAGCTCGTCTGAGTGGCTGGTATTTTGTCCTTCCCTCCAATCTTCCAAAACTCCGAAAGGCGGCTATAAGGAAAGGGGAAGTGGTTGAATTTGTTGGCATGGTACTATTACCCAGTCCAAGTCTTAACGTGCATACAGCAGAATTGGCAAGACTATTGTCCTTTAGACTTATGGTTTGGTAGAAAGACTTAATCCTCCACATTCCCAGGCTGATGTTCAAAGTCTGCTGAAAGTTGCACTGCTTTAGCAAATGTCTCTGTTTGTCAATGTAGACAGCTTGAGAGAGAAAGAGAGTGCTACTGAGAGAAGTGAACTTATTCTCTACTGGCAGGATCAAAAGAGGGCATGCCTGGAGCAGGCTGGGACATTACTCCAGTTTTCTTTAAGTTGGTTGTAAGACTGTGAAAGTCATATTGGAGAGCTTGTCCATGCTACAATACAGGACCAGCTCAGGGTCTGCAGCTCATAAATGGTTATTGGCAAATGGGAAATCAGCAATTATGTCCTTGGAGACCTTGTTTTTGTCTGGAATCATCTCTGACTGAGATGCTTCGATATCCCAGGAATGTCTTCATGGCATCAGACAGTGTGACAGAGAAAAACATGCTTAAGGTGATGGGTGTTAGCAGGCGGCACTGTTTGAATCCATCAGCGACTGGGAATTGGACAGAGACTCACCGCCCAGGTCCTACAAGAGCGTGCATCATGGACTGGGATCTCATCCACTCTGCTCCTAAGAAAGATTGATCCGAGTCATTTTGAAATGGGGAGAAGCTGGGAACTGTGGACAGACAGAGAGATTGAGGGCTCCAAGTACAGAAAGCACCAAAAGCTCACGGACAGCTCCAAACACGATTAGAGAAGTAAAAGGAATGTTGGTGTGGATTGCAAGGGGGCTGAAACCCAAAGGGGTTCTGTTTCCATTGTGGAAAGCTCAGGTTTGACTCCATCTGGAATTCTGGGTTCAGTTCTGGCCTCCGCACCTCAGGAAGGAGATATTGGAGATATGGGGTGCAGCACAGATTCCCCAGAACAATTCCTGGATGTACTAAGGGCAGGTTTCATCAATGTGCTTTGTATTCCCTTGCCTTTAGATGATTGTGTGGTAATCTAACTAAAGTGTTCAAATTAACAGGGAATGTGGAGGGAAGCTACTGGGGAGGGTGGGTGGGAGGGCGGGCATGCAGGACAAGGGGACCTGACACTGAAGGTCTTTCAGGAGTGAAATCAGAAAGGACTGCTTCACAATAAGGTTGTAGGGGAATCAGAAATAATGGCTCACCCAAATATCCCCCATCCCCATTCCACTGACCACAAACCCCTCCCTGAAAAACACACTGTGGGTTTTGTTCTATCTAAAAATTTCCAGTTTAAGTAAGTTGGGTTTTGATTGGGGAAGGTTATCAAGTTATATGGAACATCGGCATCTGCCTGACAGTGTGGAAAATTGCCCAGGTAAGTCCTGACATAAAATGGTGCAGCTCCAGCAACACATATTCTTAAAGGGAGAGGAATGTTGGCCAGTGCTACCTCGGAGATTATGAACCCAAAGTCATGACTCACCACCCTGTTTAGGATCCTGACTGTCCAATTTGGAAAGCCCTGGCCTAATCTACATTCTGCCATGCAGAAGAAAGCAGGCCATTTGATTGGCACCACATCCACAAGTATCCACTCCCTCCATCACTAACGGTCAGTAGCAGCAGCTGTGTACCATCTACAAGATGCACTGCAGAAACTCACCAAGGCTTCTTAGACAGCACCTTCCAAACCCATCAAGTCAGGCAGCATCAGAGGAGCAGGAAAGTTGACGTTTGGAGTCAGGACCCTTAATGTCAACTTTCCTGCTTCTCACATACTGCCTGGCCTGCTGAGTTCCTCCAGCTCACACTGTGTTGTCTCTGACTCCTGCAGTTCTTGCTATCTCTGACCTTCCAAACCCATGATCACTTTCACCTAGGGGCCATTTCTTCACGGTCACTGGATCAAATTCCTGGAATTCCCTCCCTGATGGCACTGTGGCTCTCCCTATACCACATGGACTGCAGCGGTTCAAGAAGGCAACTCAATGGAAATTTCACCAGGGCTACTTGGGGCAGGCAATAAATTCTGGGTTAGCCAGCAAAACCCACATCCTATGAGTGAATAAAATTTAAAAATGACCATACGATACAATCTTGCAAATGGGATCACAACATCAATTAATTCAGTATTAAGTTTAAAAGGGAGGAGGAAAAGAGTTACAAGCCAAAGGTTTAGATGTCAGTAACCTAAGCTTTGAAATAACGAGGGATAGGTTAGTAGATACATCGCAAACAGGCATACATCTACTGCCCTTGTCCTACTAGTTTAAACCGTCGATCACTGATTCTTGGTCAATCTCAATCCCTCATACACTGCCTGCATTACTCTAAGCTGAGTGCACAACGATCGCAGTGCTACAACGTAACTTCTGCTTCCTGAAAACACTCCCGTACACAGAACTCGGACCTCCACGCTGAACACAGAAAAGTTACGGAAGTGCTGCTGCGCTCCAAATCTGCTATCTGAGCAGTGTCAGCTAAGCCAGGGACCCGGAAACAAACTGTGACCAGTAGTGCCTGGCTCCTGTGCCTTCCCATTTAAAGGTAGCCAGCAATGTTCCAAGTGTATTCCGAAGGTGATAACCAGATGCCTGGCTGCAGCATGACTAGCAGCAGAGAGACACCACAAACAGCAAGGGGAAGCAGCATCTTTTATTTAAAACTCAGTCGGCTGCAAGTGCAAAATTTATTTTTGAGTTCAATTCTGGCTGCTTTGCTACAGGGAGAATAGTTTTAATTGGAATGGCTGCAAAAAGGGTTGACAAGGGAGACTGAAGGGTTTGAATTATAAGGAGATGCCGGATGAGCTGGGATTTATTGCCTTTGGAGCATGGGAGGCTGAGGGGTGACCTTAGAGAGCTTTATAAAATGATGAGGGGCATAGAAAAGGTAAATAGCCGAGGTCTTTTCCCCAGAGTAGGTGAGTCCAAAACTAGAGGGCTTAGGTTTAAGGTGACAGGGGAAAGATTTAAAAGGGACCTGATGGGCCACTTTTTCACACGGAGAATGGTGCATATATGGAACAAACTGCCAGAGGAAGTGATGGAGGTTGGTACAGTTGCAACTTTTAAAAAAACATTTGGACAGGTATATGGATAGGAAAGGTTTAGAGGGATATGGGCCAAATGCAGGCAAACGGTACTAGTTCAGTTTAAGATACCTGGTCAGTGTGGACAAGTTTCCGTGCTGTATGACTCTATAACCAGTTTGAAAAGCTGGTTTCTAACCCAAGGTATGATCTCAGTTGTAGACTAGTGCTACCTTGGCTTTATCTTAGCTAAATTAAAAATTTCCCTGGCTAATGATGATAAATGATGAATCCGAACCATCTAAAAGGAATCCAGATAAATTCCACACAGAATGGGAAAATGAATTCTATTCACCACTGTGAAAGACAAGAGCGTTTGCCTGATGTTTCACCAAGATATATCAGGAGGTAAAAAGGTGAATTTGGAAAAACATCACACAACAATGCACAGTAAATTCAGAGACAGTCTTCCCTTGAACAGCATGCTTTGGACAAAGAGAATTGACGAGCTGAAAACCATTTTTAAAGCTCAATGTCACTTTCTCTAAGCCACCCTGCACTGCAGTATCATTTTGCATTTTCGCAGAACTCAAGAAATCGTTCACAGATGATAGAAGAATCAAAGAAGCAATGACTGTGGCTGTTGACTCTTTACTCAAAGACTTTAAGACCAAAGAAGAAATAATAAGGGCCGTCTAGAGTTTGGTGCTGCCACAGGAGCAATATGGGTGGAAACTTTGTCTGAAGAGGTCTATCAGCAACTGCAGCAGGACCTGAAGGACTGTGAACACAGTCGCTACAGTTCCATGAATCCTTGACATGAACACAACTCAGCTGATTGTTTTTTGTGTGCATTGTCTGTAAGGACATAACCACTAAAGAGGATCTTCTCACTCATTGTCCTTAAAGAGAGAATAAGGGATGAGGATATCTACAACAAAGTCGAAAGGTTCATGCTTGAGAAAAACATTCTGACACATTGGAATGCTTTTCACAAGCACATACCCTTTGGAATAACTGACAATAGTTAGTTCTTCATTATTAAACCTAAATAGAGCCTGTTACCAGACCAGTTCCAAGTATTACTCTGAATACTTTTGACAAATGTGCTGCCTTTACAAGGTGAGCATAGAGTCTTACAATGCGGAAACAGCCCCTTCGGTTCAACTCGTGCGTGCTGATCTGATCTAGTCCCATTTGCCAGCATTTGTTCCATATCCCTCTAAACCCTACCCATCCTGCTGCCTTTTAAATGTTGTAATTGTCTCTACTACTTCCTCTGGCAGCTCATTCCACACATGCACCACCCCCTGCATGAAAAGATTACCCATCAAGTCCTTTTGATATCTTTCCCCTCTCAGTTTAAACCTATACCCTCTAGTTTTAGACTCCATGAGCCTGGGAAAAAGACCTTGGCCATTCACCCTATCCATGCCCCTCATGATTTTATGAGCCTCTGTAAGGTCACCCCTCAGTCTCTGATACTCCAGGAAAGAAAGCCCCAGTTTTGATTCTCCCCTTGATTATGAAAGTCAATGAGATTATTGCTGTTTCTACCCCACACTCCTTCCCTTAGCTGGCTTAGCACTCTGTTCCACGCTGGCTTGGTTTGTTTTGAGTTATTTTTGCCTTGATGTGCTTATTGCTATCATAATCCCGGTCTTAAACATGGAGTGAGCTTGTAGCATGTTCTCAGAGATGTGTTTTCCTTTCACAGCGCTCCGAACAGCAGACATCCCTTACATAGACAGCCTGGACAGAAGCCGTTCAAAGGAAAGGAAACACTTGCTGTCACCTGATAGATCCCTGTGCACCTCAGCAGAACGTGCTCAGTATCCACAGCACCATCCCCGGGATGAGAGGCTATCTCGGTCCCCTAGTCTCGGCCAATCTCGTTCTCACCGGGGACAGGTAGGCCCCAGGCTCGTGCTCATATCGGACGGTTCCTGTACCTACTTTAATACAAAGATTGATATTTATTGGACAGAGTTCAAACCACGAATCCAAGTGTGCTGTACACCTGCTCTAAATTAAACAAGTTAGGACTAGTCAAACTTTAAAGAACTAAATCCTGCAGGTTTTCATTCAGAAGAGTAGGCGGTAAGGGTAGAGTTCTCTCTAGCTGTGAGAGACAGAGTAATTCAAAAAGTAACATACTTCATTTCAACATTGAAATGCGACATACTGCGGTCATATCAGATCTGAGCTCAGAGAAAATGTTCTCGCTGTGAGAAAATGTTGTTCCTCACATGCACCCCTCCCCTTGCCTTCCTGTATCTCCTGACCAAAAACCTTCAATCTGGATCCCCTAGTCCCTGTGCCACCAGTCAATGGGAGCAGCTTTCCCTGTCTCTCTTATCCAAACCCGTTATAATCCTGTCCAACTCGATCAAATCTCCTCTCGATCCCCATTGCTTGATTTCAAAGGGAATGGAGTTATAAGACTAGGGAGGTTTTGCGAGACTGTACAAAGCACTGGTCAGACCACACCTGGAATATTTTATTGTAAAGGGAATGGAGTGTAAAAACAGGGAGGTCTTGCAAAAAAAAATGTTATAGAAAGCACCAGTCAGGCCGCAGCTGGAATACTGTGAACAGCTTTGCGTCCCTTATTTAAGGAAAGATAGACTGACATTGGCGGTATTGCAGAGAAGGTACACCAGGCTGATCTGTGGTATGAAAAGACCGTCTTATGAGGAGAGGTTGAGTAGGTTGGGCCTGTACACTTTGGAAAATGGAAGGACGTGAGGCGACTTTATAGAAACCTGCATGATCCTTAGGGGACTTGACAGAGTAGATGCAGAAAGGTTATTTCCCCTTGTGGGAGAGACCAGGACCACAGGACAGAAACTCAGAGTAACGGGTTTCCTATTTATGAGAAGGATGAGGAAGAATTTCTTGTCTGAAGGGAGTGAATCTGTGAAACTCTTCAGCACAGAGGGATGTTGAGGTTAGTTCATTAAGTATGTTCAAGGCTGAGACAGATTTTTAATCAGTAAGGGAATTTATGGGGAAAAGGCAGGAAAGCGGAGTTGAGGATAATCAGATCAGGCACAATCTCATTAAATGGCACAGCAGCTTCAATGTGCAGAATGGCCTACTTCAGCTCCCATGTGTTATGGCCTTAAAACCCCCAGTCTGACTCCAGAACAGGACAAAAGGTGATCGGAACTTGCAGTAGTGGGAGAGGTAGTTTTTGGAAAGTCCAGAGTAATGCAAGCCTGTGGGTGGCATTATACAAACATTTGTATTTCTAGATCACGTTCCCAGCTGCAGAACTTCCCAAAACGTAGTAGAGCCAATGACTTACTCTGTTGAAGTGGCGTCATTGCTGTTAAGTCATTGCCAAAGGGAACACAGAAAGCTCCTACAAACTGCACCATCATTTATTTTATTTATTCTTTAATGGGATGTGGGAGTCACTGGCAACTCCAGCATTTGTTACCCAGTGCTAATTTCTCTTAAGCTGAGTGGCGTTTGCTTGAACACCTTGATTCACCATATCCATGCTCCTCATGATTTTACAAACCTGTATAAGGTCATCAGGATGCTCCTGGCAAAATAGCCCTGGCCTATTCAGCCTCTCCCTATGACTCTCCAACCCTGCAACATCCTTGTAAATCTTCTCTGCACCTTTAAAGTTTAACAACTTCATTCCTGCAGCAGGGAGAGAGAATTGAACACAGTATTCTAAAAGTGGCCTAACCAATGTCCACACAGCCGCAACATGATGTCTCATCTCTTGTTCACAATATATATTAATGATTTGGATCAGGGAACAAAATGTAACATCTCCAAGTTTGCAGATGATACCAAGTTGGGTGGCAGGGTGAACTGTGACGAGGATGCAGAGATCCTTCAGCATGATCTTGACAGGTTGGGTGAGTGGGCAAATCAATAGCAGAAGCAGTACAATTTGGATAAATGTGAGATTATTCGCTTCAGAAGCAAAAACAAGAAGGCAGATTACTACCTGAATGGCTGTAAATTGGGAGAGGGGAGTGTGCAGCAGGACCTGGGTGTTTTTGTACACCAGTCGCTGAATGTAAGCATGCAGGAGCAGCAGACGGTAAAGAAGGCAAATGGTACGTTGGCCTTCATTGTGAGAGGTTAAGTACAGGAGCAGGGATGTGTTATTGCAGTTATACAGGGCCTTGGTGAGACCACACCTAGAATACTGTGTGCAATTTTGGTCTCCTTTTCTGAGGAAGGATTCTCTTGCTCTCGAGGGCGTGCAGTGAAGGTTTACCAGGCTGATTCTGGGGTTGGCAGGACTGACGTATGAGGAGAGATTGATTAGGTTGGGATTATTTTCGCTGGGGCTCAGACGAATGAGGGGGGGATCTCATAGAGACTTATAAAATTCTAACAGGACTGGACAGGGTAGATGCAGGGAGGATGTTCCTGATTGGGTGTGTCCCGAACTAGGGGTCATAGCCTGAGGATTCAGGGTAAACCATTTAAGACAGGGATGAGGAGACATCTCTTCACCCAAAACGTGTGGAACTGATTACCACAGGAAGTAGCTGATGCTGAAACATTGAATGTATTCAAGAGGCGACTAGATGTAGCACTTGGAGCAAATGGGATCAAAGGTTATGGGGAGAAAGCAGGACAAGGCTACTGATAACACAGTGTGGAGCTGGAGGAACACAGCAGGCCAGGCAGCATCAGAGGAGCAGGAAAGCTGACGTTTCGGGTTGCCACCCTTCTTCAGAAATGTTATTGAGTTGGATTGATCGTGATGAATGGCGGAGCAGGCTCAAAGGGCCGAATGGCCTCCTCCTGCTCCTATCTTCTATGTTTCTATACTCAATACACTGACCAATAAGCATACCAAATGTCTTCTTCGCTACCCTGTCTACCTGCAACTCTATCTTCAAGGAACTATGAACCTGCACCCCAAGATCTGTTTGTTTGGCAACACTCCCCAGTGTTGTAAGAGTCTATAGGTATGAGGCTGGAAGAGCACAGCAGGTCAGATAGCATCAGAGGAGCAGGAGGGTCAATGTTTCGGGCCGAAACGTTGACTTTCCTGCTCCTCGGATGCTGTCTGACCTGCTGTGCTTTTCCAGCCTCACACCTATAGACTCTGGCTTCCAGCGTCTGCTGTCCTTATTGTCCCCCAGTGTTGGAAAACTCCCTAATACCATTAAATGTAAGTCTCACTGTGATTTGCCTTACTAAAATGAAACACCTCACATTTATCTAAATTAAATTACATCTGCCGCTCCTCAGCCCATCCGACCTGAGAAGGGGGCAGAATGTATTGCATCCAAATTTGCTGATAATACAAAAATAGGTGGGAGTGCATGTTATAATGGAGACACAGGGGACACACAACAGATATAGATGGGCTGAGGGAGTGGGCAAAAACTGGGCAGATGGAGTTTAATGTAGGAAAGAGAGAGGTTGTGAACTCTGGTAGGACAGGTCAAAGGGCAGATTGCTTTTTAAATGGGGAGGAACACTAACAAAGTGCAGTGTGAAGGGATTGGGGTGTTATTGTGCCTGAAACATGACAAAGTTAAGTGCAGGTACAATGAGTAATTGAGAAGGTGAATGGAATTGAAATAACTGCACAGAGGCCGATATCCCGTCGCCAAATCAGCCTTTATTTACTTGCGCACAGTGCACTGGCTCTGGTCAGCCAGCTCGGAGTCAGTCCCCTCAACTGAGGAGATTCTCATCTCCTGGTTTTATTCATCAGCCAGGACTTTCTTGATTGGCCCAGATTAACAATGATCTTGCAGCCAACAAGGTCAGCCAGTTCCAATCAGTGCGGGAATTTTGGCGTTTATTGCTAAGGGTTAGAATTTAAAAATGGGAAAGTCGTATTACAACCACACCCGGAGTACCGAATCTCTCTGTTTTTAAAAAAAAGGATATGTTGGCAGCACAAAAGAGATTCGCTGGCGTGATTACTGGGATAAAGGATGAATTATCACCAATGGCTAAACAGGCGAGGCCTTTATTCACCAGAGTTTAGAAGAATGAGGAGTGATTTTACTGAAGCACACAAGATCCTGAGGGAACTTGACAAATGTTGAGAAGACGTTTGCACCGGTGGGGGAGTCTCAAACTCGCAGCAATAGTGACAGAGTAAGGGGACGCTCATTTAAAACTGAGGTGCAAAGGAATGTCTTCTCTCCACCCCAGAGAGTTGTGGAAGCTAGATCACTGGAAAGAGGAGGGAGATAGTTTCTTAAAATTTAGAGGAGTTGAGGGTTATGAGAAGCTGCACGTATGTTGAGACCTGGGGTGGGGTACGTCAGCCATCATTTTGTTGAGCAATAGGACAGGCATTTATTTCCAATTCTGGAAGTCCCTGCCCCTACCAGGCTCTGTGAAGCAGTAGGAAAATGAGAGGAAATGCTGGTTACAATCGACAATTTTCTGAAGAAGGGTCCAGACCCGAAACATCAGCTTTCCTGCTCCTCTGATGCTGCTTGGCCTGCTGTGTTCATCCAGCTCTACACCTTGCTATCTTACAATCGACAGTAGTGTCACATGCACCATCGCCTGAGAGTAGCCTTATAAATACTGTCAAATCGACCTATTCACAGATATTATCACACACCTCTGGAGGAGGGAACTTGAACCTGGACCTCCTGGCTCAGAAGTAGGGGCACTACCATTGTGCCACAAAAGCCCAAGGCTAGCTTTATAAGTCAGATTGATACAGACAATGCAGCTGCTGGGATGGGTTTTGAATTGGGTCCCCAGACTACAGAGCCAGTGCACTGTGCCCAAGTAAATAAAGAGTGATTTAGTGACGGGATTTTGGCCTCTGTGCAGTTAGTTCAATTCCATTCGCCTTCTCAATTGCTCATTGTACCTGCGCTAACTTTATCGTTTCAAGATGGCCAGTCCTGTGACAATACCACTATCACCCCTTTTAAATGACAGCAGCCAGAGAATCGGGTTCCAATGTTGTTGCTTGGGAGAGAGATGAAACCCAGCACTGCACCCAGGATTAGGTCCATAGCTTTTTTCCAATAGCCTATCCAATGAGGCAGGAACAGCGTTGGTTTAATGTTTTTAGTAAAATGTGGCGGTGCTCAAAGTGCTGCAGTCCCTTAGCACCAGTTTGTGTACACACATGCACATACACAGCAGACACAGATACATACACATGGACACACACACTCACACTTAGTCACTGTTACAGAGGGAGAGTGGCCGAACCTGTCTGATAATTAAACCAAAACACAAGCCCCAATGTGTTAGGACAGGAGTAGAGGTTCCCGTCTAATAATTACCCCCGAAACACCCAGAGAAGCTCGCTTTCCCCCCCATAATCTGATAAAAGAGAAGTTGAAAGAAAGAAAATCCCTGACCACTTTATAAATAACAAGAAACAATTTACTTATTTAACCCTAACAATCAACAAATTACTAATAAACCAAACAATTACCCCCCAGACTATTAACTATTCCCTAAATGGCCTAAATTCTGCTGGAATGCTGTTCAAGTAAATACAAGTCCCACTTATATAAACCCAATTAATAAGATAACAATAAATTAAAACTTAATCTCTCCAAGTTCGTACAAACTGTGTCTTCTCCGTTACTCCACAAATGACTTTTTTTTGCTGATTCTGCTGTCAGGGATGTTTTTTCTCTAATATTGCTTCTGTGAGGGCTTCTAGCTAGAAATGCCGTGGTACCTTTTTAGGAGATGGTGCTTTCTCTAATACATAGATGACTGTGAGAACCAATTTCTCTCTCTCTCTCTCTATCTATCTCTCTCTCTCTCTCTCAGAGAGAGAAAGAGAGCTAAAGGTTCTTAAGGTCTCTGTCCAACTGCTCCTTTCTTTATACCCGTGATGACATAACAATATTTCTTACGTAGGATTGGTTCAATGTTGTCAATGCCATCAGATTTAAATTTGTTAAGTTTTTAGTATCTAAGGGCTTGGATTAAATTGATTGGCTAAATTTAAAAACCTGGTAAAAAATGTTGATGGGCCTTTCAAAATAAATGTTTAAATTTCGGGTACTTTCTGTTCTGGCATCCTCCAGCTGCTGCTCACAGACATACATTTTAAAAATCTCTAAGCACAGGAAAAACACATCACCTCTTAAAGAGACCACACATTCTTTCTCCCATATTATTTTTACAAACATATTCTAGCTTCCAGCCTTCCAGTTCAAGAGTACTTACACAACTTTGTAACACTCACGCACTCACACTCACACACACAGACATACGAGCAGAATGCAGACACACGCACACACATACACACACGGACATACACAGTCTCTCTCTCTCTCTCTCACACACACACACCCAAATTCACACTCATATACACACAGACACACACACATACAAACACACACACATTGTCTCACACTCGCTCATTCAAAGACATTCACAATCATACACAGACAGACACAACACTCACAGACACACAACACAGACACACACACTCTCACACTCACATTCACACACAGATACACACACACTCACACCGACATGCACAGACACATACATGCACAGATGTGAACATACAAACACACATGCAGACACACACACACTCACTCATATTTACACACACACACACTTGCCCACAAACACACACAGTCACACACATATACAAGCACATACAAACACACACATGCAGATACACACACTCTGTCACACTCACTCACACATTCACACTCATACTCATACACATACAGACACACTCTCAAACAAACACACACAACACAGACACACACTCACACAATACACAGATACAAACACACAGACGCACACACTCTAATTCATATTCACACAAATCAGAACAAGAAGAACAAGGAACATTACAGCACAGGAGCAGGCCCTTCAGCCCTCCAAGCCTGTACTCCTACATTTTCCACTTTTGATTATAAAACTGTCTTCACTTACAGGATCCATATCCCTCAATTCCCTTGCTATTCATCTATTCGTCCAGGTGCTTCCACCACCTCCTCTGGCAGCATGTTCCAGACACTCACCACCCGTCATGAAAAACTTGCCCCACATGTCTTTTTTAAACCTTCCCCCTCGCACCTTAAACCTGTGTCCCCTCGTAATTGACCCCTCCACGCTGGGAAGAAGCCTCATACTTTCCACTCTATCCATGCCATTCACATCTTTTAAACTTCTGTTAGGTCACCTCTCAACCTGCTGCGTTCCAGTGAAAAAAAACCCAGTCTATCCAACCTTTCTGCATAGCTAAAATCCCTCATACCAGGCAACAACCTGGTAAACCTTTTCTCTACCCTCTCCAAAACATCCACATTCTTCTGGTAGTGTGGTGACCAGAACTGTATGCGATATTCCAAGTGTGGCCTAACTAAAGTTCTACAACGCTGCAGCATAACTTGTCTATCGTTAATACTCATTGCCCTTTCCAATTAAGGCCAGCATGCCATAAGCCTTTTTTACTACCTTATCTACCTGCGCTGCTACCTTCAGTGATCTGTGGACCTGCACACCCAGATTCCACTGCATATCAATACTCCTAAGGGTTCTGCTATTCTCTGTATAACTTCCACCTGTACTTGACCTTCCAAAATGCATCACCTCACATTTATCTGGATTAAACTCCATCTGCCATTTTTCTGCCCATGCCTCGAACTGACCAACATCCTGCTGTATCCTCTGACAATCCTCCTCATTATCCGCAACTTCAATAATCTTTGTATCATCCGCAAACTTACTATGTTTTCCTCCAAATCAGTTAAATAGACCACGGACAGCAGAGGTCCCAGCACTGATTCCTGTGGAACACCACTAGTCACAGCCTTCCAGTCCAACAAGCATCCTCCCACTGCTACCCTCTGTCTCCTAAGACTAAGCCAGTTCTGTATCCATCTTGCCAGCTTACCCCGATACCATGTGACGTCACTTTTTGCACCAGTCTGCCATAAGAGACCTTGTCAAAGGTTTTACTGAAGCTCATGTAGACAACAACTCACTCAACAACACACATTCTTTCTCTCTCTTTCACTCACACACAGTCTCATTCACACTCTCTCACAAACATACATACACACACGGACACACACACAGACAAGCATACCTGAGCGCACACATACATACAAACACACGCACACGCACGCACGTACACGTGCGCGCACACACACACACACACACACACACAGACAGACACACACACACACACAGACACACACACACACACACACACGCATGCGCTGGCTGGAGACCTGGGGCTTGCTGCATTTGATGAATCTAGATGCACTGCAGCAATTCATCAAAGCTCCTCGGACAGCACCTTCCAAAACCACGACCACTTCCATCTAGAGGGACAAGGGCAGCAGGTTCATGGGAACACCAGCAAGTTCCCCTTCCTCACCATCCTGATTTGGAAATATGTCGCCGTTCCGTCACTGTCACTGGGTCAAATTCCCTCCCTGATAGCTTCGTGGGTCAGTCTGTAGCAGATGGACTGCAGCGGTTCGACAAGGCAACTCAGAAACCACCTTCTCGAGGGGGCAACTGGGAACAGCCAATCAGTGCTGGCCAGGAGAGGCTCCGGTTGTGTAACTGCCACCCCACCACCTTAGGAGGGGTACAGGGAGTGATGTATCTCTGTTTTGTCTCTTGCAGGCTAGCAGTCCAGCAAGTGACAGCCCCATCCCTTCAACGTCTGGGACCAGCACGCCAAGACACGGGCGGCGGCAGATCCCACAGACACCCCCGAAACCGCGGCCACACATCTCCTACTCTCCGGTTGCCCAGCGGCCTGAGCCGTGGTCGCTGCTGCCCTCCTGTGAGCACGCCACGCCAAGGGGCAAGGGGGAGTGCCAGTACCAGTCGTTGAGGGTGCGGCCCAGCAAGGTCCTGTGGAGCGAGTCGCCGGGCCTGAGCGCCAAGAGCGAGAGCCAGCACTCGACACCGCTGCGCTACATCTCTGAGCCGTCACTGAGCCTGCACGAGGAAGGGGGCAGCCTGGACCAGGAGCAGGGCCCCGGGGAGGAGACCCTCACTTTCGAGGCCGCTGTCGCCACCAGCCTCGGCCGCTCGCACACCATCTCGTCGGCACCACCACTCCGCCACAGCTGGCAGCTTCCCAACGGCAGCTACCGCGCCAGGCTGGGGGCGTCCGGGCCACGGGCCACGGGCTCAGGGCCAGCTACCGTCAGCAGCGGGCCACCCCTCACTCTCACCGACCAGGGCCAGGAACAGGACCAGGACCAGGACGACCAGTGTTAGACCGGGGAGGGGAGGGGGGGGG